GTACTGTGGTGTTCTTGATGATTCCGTATATACTTGTAAACAAACTGAAGTTATCCTCGTCGCCAATATAATACAACTGAATATAAATAAACAACTACCACAATAAGATGACTGCTCCGCATAACTTTTAATTTTCGACTCCCAGAATATATTCTAGAGGGCGTTGTCATGATCAATATATTACACAGGGGTTTATAGATTTTAACAATTCTACTCTCCCATTGGATGAAAATAAGAATAAGATTTAATTAAAAAAACCTGATCACTACCTGATCTACCTGGAGATAACCTTCCTCTATTTGGTCCACGCCAAGTGATACTAAGGCCGTTGTTGCTATCTCCACCTGTTATCTCACAAACGTAGGTGATGGTCTCCCCACTGTAGATGATCTTTCCTTGCTGAGGAACAATCGTCATCGATAGAGGATTCACATCTGTAAGAAGACGTTAAATTTTAAAATGTATTTCATGTATACATAATAAAACCTATATATAAATCAGCCATTAATCGGCATTTATTGGTTTATACTTGGTATGAAATGGACAACAGCCAGTTCCTAGATAGTGCTTTTCATGTAGAACACAGAGTCCATTATTAACCGCTTGTCATTGGGTTCATAAGGAGTTGTGCATCAAGAGTAGTAAATTAAATTCTTGCAGAGCCTTGGTGCTCATAGGGCTGAAGCTTGTCCCCAGTTTCTGTAGCAGGAAGCAGATGAGAATGTGATACTCCCACTGGGTTACTCCCAGCAATTTGCTGGTACAAAGCTGGGTAGATTAAAGCAATTTACATAAAGCGCTTTGCTCCAGGACACAAGCAAAATGTACAGCGAAGGATTGAAATCCTCACCGCGAGGTAAGGAAACCCAACCATTCCCATTGCGCCAAACCCCTTCCACGTACATAAAGTGTACAGGACTTAAAACCAAGGCAGAATGTACAGGACTTCAAGTGGACAGGAACATGGACAAACTAGAGTAGCCGGTATCAGTTAACCAAGTAGCTCAGACATGACAGGAGACCCTTAAGGGAGAAGCATGATACTGTACAATACAAGCTAGTCCACACCTCAAGCACTTTCAGACTTTGATAAAAGCGCTATATAAATCTAACATATACATTACACATTACCCTGAGTTTTAACCACAAAGCTCTAGATTGACTAAAACTCAAGTACATATATACTGTAATGAATACTGAACGTATATTGGAAGATGGGCATTTTAACTACCAAAACCATGGCTCTATGCCGTAATTGATTTACCTTCTTGTTCACAGAAAACACCATGGAATCCAAGCGTACAGTCACAGTAGCCATTAAAGCATGTGCCCCCATTTTGGCAGCCTGGCTTACAATGCAAGACTGTTTACCGAGAAAGAAGAAGCAAGCAAAAAACTTGAAGAATCAGTAAGAGAAGAAAAAGACAAAATGCATAGCATAAGATGACACTGAAAAATATTTGACAGTAAACCATGTGATGAAAGGGTAAATACAATCATGGTTGGTTCTGAAAGAAGTAGTTTGTCAATCAAGTTACGGCCATAATTGGGTCTCGTAATTTTTTCTGAATATGTTTCGAGTTAGGCAGTTGCTACTGTTGCACCATTTTAAACCAATTCCTAATTCTGTCCAAATCCAATCCATACAATAACATCCCATCAGAAGTGGTTTACGACTGGTGCCACTGCCTTAGAGCAAACTATTTAAATCTTTGAGATACTGTATCTCATAAAACATCAAATCTTTCTTTTCAGAACCATGATCACAAGGCATACTGCAGACAATTTTCACCACCTTTAATGAATTTTTAAGAGAAGATATCACATAAAGTAATTAACTTCAGGGAAAGAAAACACAATTAAGACAGACAAATTTTAATGAAAATAATTTTTTTTTTTTAACTGACTGAAGAATATAAAACAAACCAACTGGACAAAAGGGGAGGAAATAAACACTCATTGTGACACACATATAGATAGTTATATAGAATTAACAATAAAAAGATGTAATGGAATATAGATATGAATAAAAAGAGGAAATTAATAATGGAAAGACCCTGAATACTAATGAAATATCACATTACTGTATATTGTCATAAGCTGCAAAATCTGGTTAAAACAATTACTAGTAAACTTATGTGTAACACATCTAGAGTTTGACAACACTATTGTTTTTGTTTTCAATCTGTTCAGTTTAGTCACTGCAGTACCTGGTAAGCTATCTCACTAGTAAGTGAAAAGATAATGTGGATGTTTTTGGGGTATGGGTATTCCTATTATTAACATATGTTTTTTGGATTCTATTGTTTACCAGAGGGAAGTTCTGAAAAAGGAAACATGGCATTTATTAGTTTATCCTAATATTTTAATAATTATCTATGCAAGTATATTCTAGTTTTTAAAATTAAAACCTTATTAATATTTATGTGGCCAGTAAATGTACAGTTCATTGTTATCGTAATTAGTGATGCATTCTAAGAAGAACTGAATTAGAACTCACTTTGATTCTGACAGAAGTCTCCGAAATAGCCATCAGGACACTGACAAACCCCATTCTGACACGTACCACCGTTCAAACATGCTGGGGTGCAAACTGGTACTAGGGTGGGGAAGGTAAGCAAGGGGTAGTTAATGTGTTAAAGGTAATTGCATTGGAAAAGTACAGGTGGCACATATGTTAAATAAAATTGGGTTTATATAAATTACATGCACATTTAAAAACTGTGATTAACCACTTACATTGGACAACTGTTACACGTGAGATTGGCCCTGCTGTACATGTATAGAAGCCTTCATCTGATTGTTGCAGACTGCTGATCGTTAGCCTAGTTTCTCGATCTGATAACTTGGTCACAAACATTTGCTGTCCTGTGATTAATATCATGAGAACGAAATAATAGTCATTAAAATGTTTTGAGGAATGACAGCTGAACTGAAAGATCTCAGAATCAAAACTCATAAACGAAGTGGATATCAAAGATCTGATAGGTTTTTCTCCTTCTTCTTGCAAGCTGCATCTCTCCGTATTGTCGCAACTTGAGAGCATGTGCGGTGCAGGAACACAAAATCCACCAGAGTGAAAGAACAAAAACATTAAAAGGTGCTGTACAGTGCTGCTAAAATTTGCTACAACTTAGATAGCAGTATTGGCCAGTCCTACTCTGAAGGTTTGCAGATAGACAAAACACCCAGCAGGCAAGTGAAATACACTGCGAAATGCCTAGGTTTTGACCTAAATTTTTTCAGGTCATGGTTCAAACTATAGACCCTCGGTGATGCAAGACTGTACTATGCCCCTTGTCTATGTCTCAAGGCATAACGCAATTTCGAGATCACTTTGGGCTACGGCTTGAACCACGCCTCTCAAAGAAATCAAAATTTTAATACTACCATTCTTCTTGTACAATGTACAGTTGTGCAATTTTAAAAGATGTTCAGATAGTTATTTATATGTTGTTAGATTCTTCTGAGCATATCAAACCACTTAAAACAGAAATAAAAATTACCTGTTCTTGTTTCCGAGACAGTTCTTTGATTTGGACTAATCCATTTCGGGTTTACTATGCCATCTTGACCACTAGCGATGCACAGGAATGTAATTTCGTTACCAAGGGCTACCACATCTCCTCTCCCACTTTCAATTCGTAAATTAGCCAAATCATTTTCTGCAAGATATATATGGAAAAGTTAGAAATTATTACAGCAAGAATCTGCACTCAAAGCAGACATGCCAACCCTACAAGGCCAACAAGAGGAGTCTCAAAAACTTCTGAGCGGATTGAGTTTTGGCAATGTGAGAGGAGTATTCCTAAGACATGGTACCAATGCGATCGGATTGTAAAATGTGACCTTTTTGACTCACAATCAGCAATACCTCCGTGCAAGACTAGGACCTAGGCCTAGGCAGAAAATCAACACCGCACCAATCACAACGAGCGTACCATAGGAATCACCTACAGTAGTTGGATTTCAAACTGACAGGATACTTTCCGTTATTAACTTGCATGTTTGCGTGTGTTTTAGCTTCTTTTTTGGAGGAAGCTCAACACTACTACTTGTTTTTCGGTACTGCCTAGCCCTAGGCCTACATCCATATCGTTCTCATCAGACTCCATTTTCGAAATCTTGCTTTACTAGACTGTTGTTACGAAATCAGTAGACCATG